TTGCACCCTCCGTATTTGCATACATTGATGAAGTCTGATGCTAGGCCATGTATACATATCTCATGTGTTCAGGTATATATACACAGGACAACGTGGATCATTTGCGCAACCCTCGCCATAAACGTGTAACGAACTGTACGAAGGCGTAACAGATACCATGAAAAAAAAAAAATAGAACAACTCCGAATACAACACACCCTAAACAGATATATTACCTCTAGAAAAGAAAGGAAAATTTGACACTCCCTATATCAATTGAGTACTGAGGTGGATCTAGCGAACGAAGATACCAACCGCGAAGGGGGTGACAGCCAATATTTTATTTGTACAAGTATCGATCAACAATAACAAATATGTCGGCCGTCTACAACCGTGTACCGGAAGTGGTATTGGTACCAAGAATAAAATAGAGAATCGAACAAGATGGATGAATGTGGTTCCGCGGAGAAGGTGAGGCCGAATAGTATACACGCACAATAGCCCAGTAGAGTAGCTAAGTGAACTGGTGGTATCCGAGTTTTACACAGGGGTACCAACGACGATTATATTCGACGTGTAACGGATTACACAAGTGGTGGATCCTCAGGCGATGAGTAGACGAGGAAGGCCGAAAGAGAAACTTTATATAGGTGACGTAGATATGCCGGAGCGACGGGGGTCGAAGGATCGAGTAACTGGATTTGTAAAGTGTTAATAAAAGATGATGAGTTCATCATGTATTTATGTTATTCGTATCTTCGTCCAAGTATATAGTATTTACGTTTTTTGAAAATTCTTTGAACGAGACTGTCATGGCACAGTGCTGCCATCTACTTGTCACTATGTGTAACGACACAGTCCGAGTGGACCAACGATGCGATGGCATCCTCGTTACACGTAGCTGGTTAGAAATTGATGCACCCTGGCCAATTAAACGGGCTCTCTCCGGAGACGGAAGAGTCACGGAAACGAAAGCCGGGGATGGAATTTCTGCTGATTGCTTTTACGTCCTTTGTGAATGTCCGCCGAGCGTCCTGACGCTTTGCTACGTTGCAATTAACTGCGAGAGGACGGAAGGCCAATTAAAGGCATCGAATTCTAATTTCGGTACCGTCTTCCTTTTCTCTACCTGGTACGAGGATTTTCTTTGATTTTTTTTTTTTTTTTTTTTTTTTTTTTTTTTTTTTTTTTTTTTTTTTTTTTTTTTCTTTCCTGTCTCTCGGTATCGACAGTATCCTTCAGGGCTGAGGGTGGGGGGATGAGTACTATTTTTTATCAGTCAAAGCTATTGAACTTTTTTAATACTTTTTATTCCAACTCTTTTATATGGGACTTTTTTTGTCTCTCTGCTCCGTTACTTTTATTTCGATTTTTTTAAGGTTGCTGTAGATCATTGCGAAGCAGAAGTAATTATCCAGTCTTCGTGCCAGCTGTGAAGCTCGTAAGGAGCTAGATCATTGACGAAGATAAAATCGATAATCGAAATGTTTATCGTTTCTTACGAAAATCGTATTTTTATAAATTATTGGAGTGCCTGTAGCGAAAATATAAATAATTCCTCGTATCCGTATAAACCAGCGTTGTTGGTGAAAAATACCTTTGTTTTGGGAAAATTTTTTTGAAAAATTCATACCTCTGTTCCGTTTATGCTTAATTACACCGAGAGGGGGGGCGATCCTTCCGAAAGTTAAGATCACAAAGAGCCTTCTGCCTACCTTAAGACCTCTCAGGTAATATAAGCCCTAGATTTACTTAAAGTCCAGTCGCCTCAAAGTTCCCTCGTAATTTATAAAACCACTCGGGAAACGACTCGGTTTCACTTTTATACTTTGTTTCCCAAAGTTCTCCGGGCGCGGCGTTCGCTAAAAGCTCAAACGACGGCGAGCGCCGACGCCTCGCGAGCGTCCGCGGGCCAGACGCTCGACGTCGGGTCCTCCTCGGTGTGCCGGCGTTAAAACTACTCTAATAATAAACTTTGGCGGAAATGGATGAGCTCAAGGGTGCTCATATCTACGAGCGGTGTACTCGAAAGTTTGCGAACCTTTCGCAACGCTAAAGAACCGGTACCACACCTTGCCTATCCAGTTAAATGGATCATAGTCGTGATCCTCCCAAGGTATCCCGACGCCGCGAATCGAAAAGGGAATAAAAAGTTCCCTTTAAAAGAATTTCTGATCCATCCCCTACACTCCTTTGAAAATTTTTCACCCCGTCTCGAAACGATCGCGTGCGTGTTACAGACCCTTAAAAAAAATTATTTTTCATTCCTCGAACGTTCCGGGCCATTATTTTTCTATAAAATTGAAACGTCCGTGTCTGATCTTTTTTATTAGAAAATTTAATGTGCCCTCGCACATCTCACGCGGGGGCAGGTACCCCTGCCTACTTATTCAGGGACCTACCAAGATCGACGGGATCAAATTGTCAACCTGTGCCAGCTACTCCAGAAATGTCGGGACCCTAGCTTGTCGACTTAGAGCAATGGCGTCCTGAGGTCGTCAGGGTACCACGTGTGCCACAAGGAAATTTTCTTGAGACTCCTCCATCCCGTAGACTCTATTAAGCGTATAGTTCAGCCCCCGCGCTCTTGACAAGGAACGTGCGCAATATTGCTGGATATTTGTAAACCGTCCCATGGCTGAAAGTTGTGCCGCTGGTGGCGCACGTCATCCTGCACTGACGTTTGATGGATTAAGGGTCGAGGTCCAGGCATATTGGAGGGTTGATATCGCAGGGTGCATATAATTGAGTAGTCCCTACATAGGAATTACAAAGCACCCCTCGGCGGACTCATTGATTATATAATAAAAATAAATAACTAGACGACCCTTTTTTTTAAATATATATAGAAATTTAATTGTTATTATTATATCGCGTCTACGACAGAAAATGACTGTAAAAATGACAATGGCAATTTTCATTTCGTAAATCACTGGGGAATCGTATGATTAACGTGAATTCTAGTCAACACGTCGGTTCGTCCTTTAATTGCTTGTTGCTCCGTCGGCAGCCTGTAGTTTCGAGAATAATAACGAGACTTGTGATTAAATATTGATCGGGCAGATAGTACCGGGAAATTAGGGAGTCGGTGGCCACCTACCCCAGCCGTCCACTGTACCAGTGCAATCGAACCTACAGATCATTGTGAAGTTAGCGTCCCACGTGGTGGGATCCTAAAATGGAACCACAGTTCCCTCCGCATCCATCAGAGTTCCATGGTTTCTGATGATTTTTAACAATAGCTCTTGTCATTTTTCCCGAAAACAAAAACGCGATCGAAAAAAGATAAATTCGCGTCCATCGGTGATTACGAGGTCAGCATATCGTTGGAATCCAAAAAAAAATCTGAATCGCATCCCACGTGGTCCTGTAGTTCCTGACGGTTTTGCAAAGGGAACTGTAGTTTTATTTTTGGATGCCACCGCATGAGACACGAACTTCGGTATCGTAACGTCCAGTTGTTTTCTATACCCCGATCCATCCTGGAACGATGTCCAATTCAGTATAACCGGAAGTCTACAATTTACCGGAAATCTAAAGGACGTTCATTCCACCCTGAACCCTTTAGACCCGTTGCTTGGATACCGAGAATGATTTTACTTTTTCTCCTACAATTTCAGCTCGACAAGCTCTTTCCTCTCATTGTTCTCCAGATTACAACGAGGACGCCATTATTACTCTTTAGTATTGGAGAGAGATGTAAAAAAAAATTGATGAATTTTCTAGTCAAACAAAACAGATATTCGGATATTGGGATAAACGGATATTCCATTGAAAAATTGATGTGGTTCGTGGAGATGAGGTTTTTCAAAAAAAAAAAAAAATGGCTTTTTCATGTCCCCTTCCTCCATTAAAGTCTACGGATCGGCTATGTATCCAGTGTGTCGATTTTAAATCAACTGGGATAGGTGGCCACGTCAGATGTAAATATCTTGCCATGCCTTTACGGGAACTTAATGCTGCACAGGTATAATGTACAGGCTGAGCAGTAGAGTAAAACAATGGGAGAAATAAATAGGTAGAGAATTGGATGGGGTTGATAAGCTGAAGCAGAGGCTAAAATACGGGCTTAGAGAGGAATGAGTTGAGAATGAAGGAGGGATGTAGTGTCTAGAGAGGGCGATATATATATATATATATATAAGGGGAAGCAGGTTGCCAGAGACGAGAATAAGTTTGAATAGAACTCACATTCCGCATCGAATACGCGAGAAACTCATTAGAGAGTTGCTTCGACTGTACCTCTCGGATGGATACGGAGAGTACTGAACTGGTTAGAAGCAACTGCTACATGCATTATGTCGAACCAACGGCAAACGTCATGTCCTGGCGGTTCCGGCAACTTTACAGCGTTGAATTCCTTCGCAGGCAACTTCGCTTAGTCGCTTCGTACGGTGGCGCCACCTCTGGGCTCTCGCGCCTACTCCCCACTCTTTTCTTGCTTCTGAGCGCACGTGCTGTCTACACTCTGTCGAACGCCTTGTCTGTACAGTGATGTGGGGGCTGTCTATAATATTGCATTGTTCTTATGGTTATCGTGTATCAGAGTCCCGGGCGCGCGATTCTACAGAGAGTGAACGTACTTTTTTGAATAAGCTATGTGACGGTTATTTCATTAGTCACGGTACTATTTATGTACTTAGCGGATACTTTTAACCACCTTAAGCGCCGTGACGGACCTTAGGAACCGGTTACACATCGAGCCACGACAGTCTGGGGGCGCTGAACGGATTTAATGGCAAAAAACATAACCTCGTAGTTTGTACGGTGCTTACTATGGAGTGATTACTTTCTGAATTTGATATACTGACAGTGCCGACTGGGATTTTCGCACTGCTGTTATCTTTTAGCCTTGTAAATGTTTAACAGAGTTCATCACGCGTCTGGCATCTCACCGGGGATAAATAGTATGGGAATGTTACCTCAATGTGTTTTTAAGGTATTTATTTTTTTTTATCTGGTATCATGCTGTGTACTTTAGTAGCTCATCGAATCAGTGTAGTATTGGTCCAGCTGGCATGAAGTCGACTTGGCTGCTGATTATTGCGAATTTTGTAATTTTTCATTCTTTTTTTTCTTTTTTGACTAAACTATGAACTCGTTAGTTTTGATCTTACGCGAAGTAAACTGATTGTAGATTATTTTATTGGAATATAAGTGGATTTTATAAATTTTGTATATCCATTGATTTATTTTTATCCAAGTGTCAAAATCTTTAACTTTTTTTTTTGTTCGCGCTAAAAACATCTATGATGGACAAACTTTAAATTTTTCAAGTTTCTTGGAACTTTAACAAATTCGGGGTAACAATCGGATATTTAATGTTTGACGGGAACCACGTTCACCCTGGTGAAATCAAATGGCACTCCCGTGTTACGTTTCAACTAGGTCAGTAATCGACGCAACCGGGTCAAAGGCTGGTTTCCATTGAACGTGACGGCTTGAGGTTCAGGTGGATCATGCTCATACGGTAGACGTTTGAAAATCTCTAGAATATTCAGAAATTTAAATTGAGGTTAGGTTAGGTATGGTTGGGGGTTGCGACATTAGATTCATTTTCATACAAATCACTAGAATAAATCTAGAGTATCTTGTCAACGTAGTAATTATGACATTGATAAGAAACTATAAATTTTTTTTTATACCGATAACATTATCAGACGATATTTAAATCCGAAATGTCAAGCATCCGCTTGAATTATACGTTCATTCATTCCTAAATCATTTGATTGACGTTTATAAAAGCACGTGGATTATAAGTGCATCGAGAAATCGAAGTGAACACAACCGTTGTCGTCATTCAATGAGAATCAGTCTTAATGACGCACGCGGCAGCGAGTCGTGATTTTGTAAAAACTGTTTCAACAAGCAATTAAAATGAAAATTCATTGTACGCTGTCAAAAATAATTTTTTGTTTCAAAATTTTCGAAATTGTTAACCATAACTTTTTTTTTGGGAAATCACCGGTCTGCTCAGTTAACTCCAGATTGAATTTGTTCATTTCGTTCTTACGGTCTTGAAATAGGATTTTGGTATATGGTATGTAATTACAATATACCTCGAGCTATTTCTTCCCATCTCTTTTTTACTTCTTTCAACTAACTTATCCCTTCCTCCTTTCCTTCCAGTATTCGCATATATTGAATGTATATTCAATTCGTCTTCTCTCGCAGTCTGTCATCAAATGCTGCATCGTCTATTTTCTCCTTCGACTAATTCTACATATTCTCTTGTCTTCGGTTTCTCAGCATCCATCCTCCTTTTTTTCATTACCACATGTCCATCTCGTTACCAGCTTTTATTTTTCTCTATTTCCTAGCTTCTTGACTATTGCGGCAGGTCTTCTCGTTTCTTATTATTTTCTATTTACGAACGTGTCTGGATTAGGTTTTCCTAGGAAAACCTATGAAAACCTAAAAAGACCTAGAACAACTCGAAAACCTACGGAAACCTAGAAAAATCTAGCAAAAATTAGAACAAGCTGGGACATCCTGGAATAACCTGGAAATTGTTCGTGATGGTCCTATATCTACATGCTATTCTGAGAGCATTCGTCCTCCTCAGCTTTTCCAGTTTTTCCCTGATTTTACGTGTCTGTCCTACCTGATAACCTGGAACAACCTGGAGCAATCTGGAGCAACCTACGAAAACCTACGAAAACCTACGAAAACCTACGGAAACCTAGAAAAATCTAGCAAAAATTAGAACAAGCTGGGACATCCTGGAATAACCTGGAAATTGTTCGTGATGGTCCTATATCTACATGCTATTCTGAGAGCATTCGTCCTCCTCAGCTTTTCCAGTTTTTCCCTGATTTTACGTGTCTGTCCTACCTGATAACCTGGAACAACCTGGAGCAATCTGGAGCAACCTACGGAAACCTACGAAAACCTACGAAAACCTACGGAAACCTAGAAAAATCTAGCAAAAATTAGAACAAGCTGGGACATCCTGGAATAACCTGGAAATTGTTCGTGATGGTCCTATATCTACATGCTATTCTGAGAGCATTCGTCCTCCTCAGCTTTTCCAGTTTTTCCCTGATTTTACGTGTCTGTCCTACCTGATAACCTGGAACAACCTGGAGCAATCTGGAGCAACCTACGAAAACCTACGAAAACCTACGAAAACCTACGAAAACCTACGAAAACCTACGAAAACCTACGAAAACCTACGAAAACCTACGAAAACCTACGAAAACCTACGAAAACCTACGAAAACCTACGAAAACCTACGAAAACCTACGAAAACCTACGAAAACCTACGAAAACCTACGAAAACCTACGAAAACCTACGAAAACCTACGAAAACCTCATCTTGGAATAACCTGGAAATCGTTCGAAATGGTCCTATATCCACATGATATTCTGAAAGCGTTCGTCCTCCTCAGGTTTTCCAGTGTTTCCCTGGTGTTACGTGTCTGTTCTACGCGATCAACCTGAACCAACCTAGAAAAACCTAGAACACGCCAGAATAACCTGGAACAACAAAAAAAGTTTGATTTTCCATAAGTGGGAGGTTCCAGTAAAAAAGTAGTTTTTTCGCCACGCCGCTACAAATTTCAATTGAGAAACTTGTTTTTCTGGAACATTATAGAACAAACTTAGAACAAGCCTGAACAACAAGTAGAATCGAAATTTTCGAATTATGGGTGGCTAACTTCCCGCACCCCATGTGCAGCCTACATATTTCATTTTTTCACCTCCACTCCTTTTCCACGTCCATCCTCTTTTCTTTCTTTTTCCTACCTCTTGAAATTACATCATCTTTCAATTTTTCTGTATTTAGAGTTAAATTTTTTTCCAAGTTTTTTTTCAAATCTCTTTAACAAGTCCTTCGTTTCATTCTCTTTCCTTGCTAACAGTACCAAGTCGTCGGTATATGCAAACGTTCCCAATTCGTTCTTTTTCCCACTATCACCCCGCCCCCCTCTAATTGTCCACCTTTCTGCTGTTCTTTGATGTCTGAAAGATACAGTGCAAAAAGTCCTGGACCGACTGGACAGCCTTGTCCCACTTCTCTGTAGTCCAAAAGTTCTTCGAATTCAGGTCTCCTATCCCAACCACGTTTTTTCTTTCTGTGTATAATTCCTCTGTCTTCTCTCTTAGTTTACCAATTCCTTTCCCTTCTTTTTTAGCACGTTACAGAGTTTCTGCCGACATACTAAGTCGAAGGCTGCCTTTAGATCCACAGAGAAGGCAAAGAGTTTTCCTTGTTTTTGACCCAGCTTCATTTTGACATCTTTGCACTGATTTCCTTATCTCCCTTTCTTATCTACATTTTTTATCCCATAATTTCTTTATTCCCATCTTCCATATCCTCTTCTTCCTTCTTCACCACGTCCCTCAACTTTTACCATATTCTTCCTTCTTCTTCTTCTTCGTATTTTATTGAACTTTTCTTTTTTTTTTTTTTTCAATTCTTCGATACTTTCTTCATGCAATATTTATCAATTTTTGTTTCGTACGCTTCCCTTTTCAGGCTTAACTATAGCGACAGCTGATCAGCTTCTATTCTTTCTGGTACACTGTAAAATCTTTTACTCTTTCCCATGCTGCTTCGTTATTCAGCACACAGCCGATCAAGCTTGTTCCTCAGTTAGAGTTAACTCAGTGCCCATTATTTAATAACAAACGATGCACGCAGGAAGAAATATATAATTTTCACGAAAGCGTTAATTTTGATTGTTCATAAATTTCGAAATATAAACAATTACGAGATAATTAAAAAAAAACACAAATTATAATTTATTGATAAGGATTACTTGACTCTTCCTACGTTACGTTTTATCGCAGTGTCAACATCGCAGGCGGAATACGTAGAAAAGTGTACTTACACAACATTTGTATGTTCACGTAATCATATTATCATTTTTTTCACAAGGTCTCGGGCGACAAGAACGCTTGAAGCTTCCATATGTAAAATTCATATGTGCCGAATAGTTTTGACTGGAATTGCGATGCAAGAAAAATTGCAAGAAAAAATATGCATTGAATGTATTATTTATAACAGAATTACAGCCTAAATATATCGACCCAATATACATGTATATGTATATTCCTGAAATATGCTATAAAAAGAATGTATAGCCATTTTTGTTAATCCCCCTCCCCTCCACTCTTTTTTTTTTTTCGGGGATTTCCTGAATCAAATTCACAATCAGTCGACTTGTCTGAAAGTCGCTTCTAAGTCATTTCTGTAATTGAATCGTTTGACCCGATTTTATTAATACGTCACGAGTTCCACGGTACGAGTTCTCGCTGACGACGCAAACGATGAGAACTCATGGTTGATACATATGTTCAAGAGCAGAGGATATATTAGATGGCCGCAGTGTGTTAGATCGTGTTAGAGATTACTGGGCAACGACAAAGAAACGTCCCTCGCAGAATACATTGTGAATTCGTAATTACGTATTATTCGTACGAGGCTGTGGTGCAGTTACTTTTTAGTTTCCTTTCAATAATCCATAAGCGACTGTCGCTCCTCGTGGAAACGTCCTATCGGTTCACCAACCCGAGATAAAGTGCTGGAGAAGTGATTTCAGTAAAAAATTTCCGCTAATTATTTTGATAGTTCGATACAAAAAAAAATGTATAAAAAAAATTCAAGAAATTGAGAATAAAAAATTTACATAGAATATAATATATACATATATATTTGTTTATATATTATATTCTATACTCGTTAATACAATCTGCAGTCAGCCTCGTAAAGAAATTCTGTACACGCCTATGCCAGTAGGCAATAAAATGACAGCCGAAAATGGAACTAAGAAGTGTTTGGAAGTTTCGTCGCCGCCTGAGCACGAATCAGCTGATTACGAAAAAGCCGCGTCCGCAGCCGGTAAGAGTGTGTTTGGATATGATTTTGAGGAAATTGAGAAAAAAAAAAAAAATGGTGAAAAAATATATTTTTATTTATTTATTTTTTTTTTTCCTCAAAAGGTTTTGGACTTTTTAATTATCTTCTTTTGCTCGCCGCCATACCTGCCGCTTGGAGTAGTTTATTTAATATGGGAAGTGCCACGTTTATTTTAGTCGCTGCCGAATGCGATCTTAGTCTTACCACTATGCGTAAGGGAGTCCTTCTATCGGTTGTCTATATAGGTATACTGTTGCTAATGACGGAGCACAAATTAAGGAACAGTAAATTAAGCCGTGTTCATCACACCCCCTGTTCTCTAGGTATGATGACCACTGCTTTCTTGTGGGAATTGCTGAAGGATCGTGTGGGAAGACGTTTACCCGTACTATATGGCTTACTGGCTAATGCATGTTGCAATATAATAATTAGTATGTTAAATTCATACCAGTTGATAGTCGTACTTAAATTTGTTACAGGATTTTTGTGAGTACTCGATCAAATTCATTTTTGTCATGTATCGTACCGACTCTGATCCTTTATGGCTTTTTCTCTCTTCGTTGTAGAGTGACCGGTCCTTTGGATATGTTGACAACGTATTTAATGGAATTTCATGGTGCAAAGAACAAAGCACTTTTTGCAAAATGGAGCGGAATTCTCTTTGGTTTAGGAAATATTTTGCTGCCAGGTATAAATAAAAAAATTTTTGATTCACGATTAATTTTTTTTTTTTTTTTTTTTTCCGAATATTTATCGGGTCATTTTTTTCCTTTGCAGCTCTGGCTTTTTACATAGTACCTCAATCCTGGTCGTTTACTCTGATTCAGGATCAATTAGTTTATAATTCGTGGCGGATCTATCTTTTGATCTGCTCGCTTCCTTCGGTCGTGGGACTCGTGACGATTTCCATACTTCCGGAAAGTCCGCTGCAGCTGATGAAAAGCGGAAGGAGCGACGAGGCGTTGAAGTTATTCAAGAAAATGTATTCAATGAATACGAGAAAGTCTGCTGATACTTTTCCGGTAATTGGGATAATTAGTCGATCCTTGATTAATGGAATATCATATAATTCCAGTAATTAGATATCAAAGGATAATTATAGTCATTTGCAATTTACTCTTAAATTGGAACGTATCGCGGAATATGAGAAATTGCGTTTTTTTATATATATATATATATATATATATATATTTTTTTTTTTTCAATAGTATCAAAAAAACTTTTATACTTCCTTATCAATTCACACCGGGCTTCTTATCCGTTTCTTATTTCGCTTTGCACAGAAAGTGGCTTCGTGAGAAAACTCTTGCTCGCTTTCCTGGACGATAGAAAATTTAGTTGGGCCAAACATATCGCACGTGTTCACGTATGTCTTGTCTCGCGACTTTACACAGCTGTGATATATACATATTTGCATATATAAATGTTTTTTTTTTTTATTTCCTGACACAGATAAAAGAATTGCTCCCCGAGGAGAAGGAGGTGGAGTGTATATCAGTGAGAAAAAGGAATTCACGAAAAATACTAAAAGAATGGACGGAAACGAAAGTGCTCTTCTCTAGACCCAACAATTTTATTTTCATTGGCGTACTTTTCATTCAATTTTCCAGTATGCTCGGGTAATACATTTTCTTTTATAACACCGGTCCTGTTATTAGAATCGTTATGAAAAGAGAAAGAGAAAAAAAAATAGATAAGAATTAATAAAAGAACAATACTCTCATAGTGATATTTATTCAAGGTTATCAAAAAATTTCGTATCGGAATTGTATATTAATAGGCAATTTTATCAATGCAGATCCAACACTCTACGCCTATGGTTACCACAGCTGTTCTCATTGTTAGGAAACTTCGTTACCGACTATCCCGAACGCGGTATGTTAACCATGAGCGAGACGCTGCGTTATCAAGCAATGACGTCGCCAGGGAATCAGGCGACAATTAATTCCACGATCACTTGCATTCCGGTAAGTCACGATCCGCCAAAAAATACTTACGTGTAAAAAACTACGCCAAGTACAGGATTGCTGTGAATTCCTCTAACAGAAAGTATTGATATCATATTATTGAGGCCAAGTACATAAGTCACTACATGTTTTCCTATTATATGATCTAGCATTGGCCCATCATTTTAATTATATTTTCAATATTTCCTATAACGTTTTCGCTACTCTTTTATGTTACTACTGCTTCCCGTATTTAATTATGATTTAATAATTAATTCCGGTAAGTCACGATAATCGCTGCTACAATAATCCATAACGCCTAATTGCCAGTTAACGTTTATATAAATTTTTGTAATTAATATTAATACAAGATTTATTGTATAGCCTAACTTGGAACCGATTATTCTCCTGAATTCAACTATAATCACTACTGCAACTGTCTTTGGCGCTATTTTTGCTGGTCTCGTCGGCACCGAATCCACGCGACGAAGAATCATATTGGGTAAGACGTCAGCGTAAAGTCAACTACCGTCGATAACTTGAAAATACTCTGAATGCTCTTTGTAGTTTTGACGTTGGCCGCTGGCGCTGCGAGCAGCTTTGGAATTAATTGGGGCCAATCCGTACCGTCGATGCTGGTCATGGCGGCGTTAATTATATCGACAGCACGAATTGCAAGTGACACCGTTAACGTGTCGAGTAACAAAGTCATTCCGAATACATTGCGGTAAGAATAAACGGGCAACTGGGTATTGCCAATTTTACAATTAATTTATAAAAGTTATTTTTCATTGGCTATTTTTGGTTATTAACATTTTTTAGAGCCACTGCCGGAAGTCACGTGACAGCTGTTGGACGGCTTGGTGTTGTTTTTGGAAGTCTGATGTTTCCGATTTTTTTAGAAATTGGTTGCCTACCTGCACTTATGTTTTTAGGATCCATTCTTACAGGTAAGATGCATTATAATTGCATCGTGCATGTAAAGATATTTATTTTTTTTCTCGTTTCTTTTTTTCTCCATAGCATCATCAGTCTTGTCGATCTTCTTGGAGAGAGGGCCCACGGACTAACAGACAGCTGGACTTCACTGTTAAAATAAACCCAGTCTAGTGCATCGATCGTTTTTTAGATAGAAATTGCAATGACGGCTCAATTTGTTCCTGATCCTCGTGTCGGAGTCTGTACTGAATATCAAATATTTATTTCATGTTTTGTACGTCGAACTGATAACAAGCATGGGGTAGGTAATATTGGCCATCATACGCGAAATGATATTTCAGAATCTTTTTGGGGTAATTATCAACTATACAAGAATAGGAATGTTTTGGCCGTTAGACAAAAAAGCCTTTAGTCTATGTTAATAAATGGCTGTATTTTATTTATTTGAAAGAAATAAGTTCCCAATGGGCTATTTCAAAATTAACGAATAGACGTACAGTCGATGATCGATCCAACGAGCGTTGAGATTTTCAATGGGATTTTTATATTTAAAAAAATGTCGAATCGAACGCTTGATCACTCGATTGAATTGCAGTTGCGTTATCAGGAATCTCAATTTTCTTTTTAAGCCCACTTTCCCTTATTTCTTATAACATAAATTTGTCTGAATCCATCCAATATCTGTACTTAGCTTAGGTCGTTAATGTGATAAATTCGCTCTGTGAATTCCTAGTAAAATGAATAAGGTGTTGTATAAAGTTGTTTAAAGAATAAAATTAAAAATTAAAAAAAAAAATTGATAACATTACGTATGCTGAGGTAACAAAAGACTTTTTTTTATTTTCCTTGTGGCTTGAATAGTTCGACGGGGAAAAGCGTCACGGTACGTAGATAAGTACACTTCGCATGCTGCTTGCTCGTTATCACGTTCTTCGCAACGCGTTCATAAAATAAACATTTATTCATCCCTGGCGAAAACACTTTTTAATTAACGCAGAACGTTTCTACTGCAAAATTCAATTTACCTACGTCGTTATCCCGTTTCCTGTACGAATATACATTACTAGACTTCAGGAATAACACAATATTCAGATATTACAAAATACCAAGAATATTACAGTATCACTAGATTTTGCAATATCCAGTGTGACGTGATTTTTCGATTCACGGTCACAAGGCGACTCCGGCTACCGATACAGATAACGTTCTCGATTTCTGGTTCTCTTTCGGTCGCCACCCTGCTCAGAAGCTGCGCTCTCGGGTTGATTCGTACAGTTATGCCAATGCTCTCGGAAGATTTCGTTATGGTTTAGTTAAGGTCGAGGTGCTCGAATCTGCCGTGGGGATTCGCTAAGGAACGCTCTCGATTTGGTTTAAAGGGACGACTCGAGGGAAAGGGAAGAGTTATCGGCTATAAGGATCTCGACCAATCAGATTATCAGAATTATTAGTTCTCGAATTTGGCTATTTTGTCAAAGCAGTCTGTCTCGGGGCACCGACCGAGGTGTCACGAACTGGCTCGCACTCCCGGGCTATTTGTTTATAGTTTTTCTAGCTGTGTTTAAATACGGTATAAAAAGTTCTGGCTCGTCTAGTTGTCGCGTTACTCTCGCGATATCCAGCAAATTCTATAAATTTTCTGTGCGTGTTCCGGAAGTGCAGTGCCCACCCGACTGTCTCCTGGATGCAATTCTCGGACTTGACGGATCAGCTGAACCAGCTCCGGTGAGTGCTCCCAATTTATTAATTGGTGGAGGGATTTCGATTTGACACTTCCGATTCGTTGCTCTCTGTATATCACACTATTTGCCACGCGCTTACTCCGACCCTCTCTAGCTCAACCTAGCAGCCTGAGCGGCCGTGCATTTCCGTAACTGCCTAACTATCAGGACTAATTATCAAGTACAGACATCCTGGAAAATTAAATATAATCCGTTCGTCCCCTTATCTTCAAGCCAGTAGATTCCGCTGTATAACTACTGTGTGTATCTGCATATCCATTGATACTGACATTTACTAGTAACTAGTGACAAAGCCTAGGGATTTTTTTTCCGGGACACTCGTAAACTCGGAAATACAATCGACAATCTTCGAAATGAAATCATATTTTCTGAAATTCTTCTGAGGATACATTGCCCAGGATAATCTACTGCTCTAAGCGACTCGCAGTTCCTTCTAGAACTCCGAAAGTGTCCCATGTAGAATTCTAGAAAGTGATAGAGGAAGTCGTATAACTTATTTATTGAGATTATAAAAACAAGCCTGGGAAATTTTAGGAATTTTAAAATTGTCTGGCTAGTTGTCGATGATATCTACTTAACGATTTGATTTTTGACTCGTAGGATTTTGAAATGCGTTATTTTTGGATTATAGATTTTTTTTTAATTACATGTGTGTTAACCCCCTCACAGGGGATGGGTGAAAATGGAATTTAACGCTTGCCCAAGTCTGACTATTTATCGACCTACATTCCTGGCTATTGTAGGAGACAATTTAACGGGTCGGATATTTTACGGGACGCGGTAAAGTTAATTTTTTTTTTTTCGAATTTCAGTTTCCAGTCACGTTTCCATAGTCTGTGGTGATACGAGACTTTACTCGTTACTGTGTCTTATTACCTAATACTGGTTAGGCTTTTTCATGATTTCTGCTTAGGTCTCAGGTAAAAGTAGGATAATAATTGTAAGGATGAAATACGGTAGATAATTTTTTGAAGTACGTGTTTTTTTTTTACCGTACAAAGTAATATTTTCCTATGGCGAAAACTCGACGTATTTTTTAGCACGTTGAGGGGTAGATTCGGATAAAGTCGCGCGGGTTCGTGATTCTAGGACTTTTTTTTCTTTAACATATTTTTTTGCTTTATCGCAGCATCCGGACGGTCGAATCGCGAGCAACGAATCTCATATTTCCGGTTCTGTTATATCGAAGGTTTGAAAATGCCTCGAGAGCTTTGTGGGTTTACCCCACGTTTCGCTGCGTGCAAATGCGTTACGTGGTGCGTGAGGATCTTTTTTCCCTTTTTCTTTTAAGGATCCGCAGTCCCTTCGCATCCCGACGGAAAATAACCGAGATCCGTTTGTCATTTTTATTTTTTCCTTCGCTTCTGCGGACCTTGCGGTATCCCTTTGATGAAATATGGAACGCTTTAACGCGCGAGGAGATAATAAGAATAGAAATCTGCTTGGAGGGGGGATAAGTACGAAGATCGTGTCTTCGAATATAAAATTCAATTTTTATCATCATCCACAATTTTTTTGACACACACTTTTTCCATGATTTATATAAATTTCACGTATCCCCAAAACCATGTATCCGACTGTATACACTCGATGTGTAATCTGTACAACTGGCCGTTCGACCATCCCCTAGTGAATTCCCAGAATGGTAATTCAAGGGGTAGTAACTACGGTGCACCCTGTTTATGCAGCATCGAATAAATGCATTTGCAACGCAAATTTTACCTTAATTCGACGACTCCGGGAAACTGAGAAAATTATCCATAACGTTCGAATTAATCGAAAGTCTGTTGCTTAAACTTTCTGTGACACGAAGGTGTCTGCTTTGTACGAGACAAAAAAGTAATTTATAAATTGATTATCGGAAAAGCATTATAACTTATAAAAATTTATCGAACCCAACATGTTTGGATTCTTATCAAGAAGCATTATCTACTTTGCTATATTTTCGTAAATTCCATAAAAAGAACTGAAATAACCCTCGAATAAATGGTCAACTTTCTTAATAATTCAAGAATTACCATACATTACTATCGTACAGTAAATATTCATACTCGCGATAATCGAGGTATCCGTTATTACCCAAAAAAAAAAAAAAAATACACATTGATAGCTAAAGTACAGAAATATACAGTAATGGACCAATTACCATCGCAACTTACATAAATAATAAAAACCATACCCTATACCCAAAATATTTTTAAATACCCACAAAATGTACTGCCATTGGTAAATACCACCGATAGACCATGCTTACCAGGCAATTACCCTATTATCATTTTTTTTCAACCTCCCCCACCGGAAGTACCTATAGATATACCATGTTAACCAGATCTCAGCTAAGTAGAAATTGTATCTACAACGACCGATTTCTATTAGGTTATCGAATGTCTCGTACACAACGATCATACGTAGCAGAATATCCACTAACCTAACCTATCCAGTGTGTGAGGCACCCATATTACCAGATTGGGACATTAGGGCTTGTTTACAGCAATAGTTAATTAGCTAGCTCCAGGCTGCCTGGAGTTTACCATAAAGTTTACCCTGGGCATCCTGGAAGGTATCTAGCTACGTTATAGATACTAAGTACGTACCTGCCGCCTACCGGTGAGTGGAGTATCTACAGACGTTTGCCAGGAGCATAAACATTGAAAGTTTCATCAGGAGTTGCTCCTCCCAATATGTGAAAGCGAATTTTCAGGTAAAGCCAGTTTCTTATTAATGAATATTCGCTTGTATTAAAATTATTAATTATATATATTAATATATATAAATAAATATAGCAGTTATGACAGTGTAATATTATCATATATGATTAAGGGGAATTGATACTAACAGACAGTCCATAGTGTCTTTGACTATGGGAATTTACATAAGGAACAGAAATACCTATTGCTATTTACCGTGTAACAGTGTAATTTCATTCTAATCCTCGAGGAAGCTATTTTTTTGGAATTGGGGGCAGCGGGGTCGGGGGTCACTAACACGAAATACTTAAGTCCAGTAAAGTGGATGGGTTTGTCCGGTATGTAATATTATGCAATTTCGTATTATTAAGGAAACCCATAGGATGACCGTGAGAGAATTCGTTTATGGGGTTGGCTAGGTATGCGAGTTAATGGGAAGTTCTATAAAGTTGGGAAACATGGGGATCATATTAAATTGTTATGTGAGGTTGCTCGTTTGAATTTTCTCGGTTCCTTATACGTTTATTTCTCCTCTGTAGTATTATTCTTTTATTTTTTTTTGTTTCCCACCTCCGGGTAATCGTATCGGCATTGCAGTTCGTCTTTGTGGCTGTGTGGGTATATATACAGCGTAACTACGTAGTTCTGTTTTATCGGGTGAACGTGACGTCTGACGCATTTCTTTACTCGTTATATCAGCGGACACCCCTTATGAAATATTACAGCCTGGCACTCACCCCCATCCATGACTGTTATTGTTATTGCAGTCGCCGCTCTCACCTACTGACCTCAATTCGCTTCCCATAAAGAATTTCATCCATTTGGCACTGCTGGACTTTGGAACGAGATACCTCGGACTTCGTTCTTTATTGCTTCTTTATTCCTGTGGATGTCTCGTTTTTAAAAGTCTAGTTTTTAAAAAATTTTGATGGCATTATTAAAGTACTTTCAGTATCGCGTATCATTTTTTTATTATTGTTAAGACATTTTTTATCAGTAAGATTTTTGGAGATGCAGTGTCTATGATCACTTTGATGTGGCACTGCTGGGGCCATCTGAAGGCTGACTTGTAAATGCGGTAGTTTGTAATCAATTTTGTATGTATCGATTGATGCTGGATAAGGTATTTAGTATCCATTGGATATAAAGTGTAGGATTGCGGTTGAGCGTTACCGATTAGGCAGGAAGTTGAAGAATTTGATTATTTGGTTTATGATCAATAAACCATATCGTAGTCTAATTGTGAAATTGCGCAGTTTTCTACATTACCGACAGTGGGTATAGCGTGCGCCGGTTCGATGCTGCCCTCTGCAATGTTCGAAACTGTCCTTCGTTGTACAAGGATGAGCAAGAAGATGCTGAACACTACAGAAAAGATGACTTGGGCAAAGATGAGTAGGGACAGAGATGAGTA